TCATTTCTAGATTATCCTCCAGAATTCCCAGGGGGAGTAGAAAAAAATGGACTCTGAGTTATCCTGGAGCAGGGGACTTGATGGCAGAGTTGCAGTGGGCTTTGAACTACCTTAGGATCCAGAGAGAATGAGAGGAACACAAGGCCCAGGGCTTAGGTGACATATCTGAGAGCACACAATAAGGATTTAACCATTTTGTCATGGATCTGGTGACTAGTAACAATCCAATCATACTGTTGAGTTGATGCGCCTTCTCTCTGTGAAAGGGTTGGGACTGAGAATTGAGGGGTGCTTTCTCTGGCTTAGTCTCTCTGCTGTGTACACATATGGTTTTACACTTCTATAACCATAAGGAAAGAATAACTTGGAGTGAGGGTAGGAGTACAGTCAGGCTCAGGGAACTAAGCCAGGTGGAGGAGATTGGAAGAGAAATTGATTCCACCTCCACATCACTTCCAAGAGCTGGGTTATCCTTGAATTCCAGGTTCCTGGGATCCTGGAATCCTTTCTCCCTGCACTGAACAGATGAAAAAACTGAGACCCAGAGAAGAACAGTGATCTGTGAATCCTAAAAAAATGAGCCCTCTATGAATCCTAAAAAATCAGCCCGGCACCATGTATGCCTGTAATCCCAGCGACTCAGTAGGCTGAGGCAGGAGGATCACAAGTTTGAGACCAACCTTAGCAAGTCCCTGAGCAACTTAGTGAGACCTGCCTCAAAACAAAAAATTAAAAGGGTTGGGATGGGCTGGGGTTGTAGCTCAGTGGTAGAGTGCTTGCCTAGCCTATTTGAGCCATGGGGTTCAATCCTCAGCACCACATAAAAATAAATAAATAAAATAAAGATATTGTGACCATCTACAATAAAAATATATTTTTTAAAAAAGGACTGGGGTGTGGCTTAGTGGCTAAGCACACCTGGGTTCAATCACTGGTGCCAAAAAAAAAAAATCAAATAGGTAGTAAATCCCCTGGGTCCCTCTTCTCCTCTACCCTGGGAGGTGAACATCTGAAGCTTCAGGTCCTTAATCCCTTCCCTATAAAAAACTTTCCCTTCTCTACTCTTCAACCTGCCTGGTCCCCAAGAAGCTTGGCTCAGGCCTTTGCTCCCTCTAAGGCTCCTCAATGGCCTCATATTTGTTGAATTCTCTCCTTTGGTCTACCTTGTGAACCCAACAACAACAACAAAGAGCAAATATTATCAGCAAGTTTATCTGAATTGAAACTCATGGCTTCAACATCTTTTCATAATGATGATGCTCTATGATTTTTTTCAAAGGCTCTCTTGAAAGGATCTGAATGCCTCTGTATGGACTCCCATCTCCCATTGTCCCTTCCTCTCTTTCTAGCCCTACTTTCTGTACCAGGGAGGCAAAGCATGTTCAACCACAGTTAGGTTTTGTCTTATTGTGTTGTGTTTTTGTACCAGGGATTGAACCCAGGGGCACTTAACCACTGAGACACATTTCCAGCCCTTTTTTTGATAGACCTTTATTTTATTCATTTATATGCGGTGCTGAGAAATGAACCCAGTGCCTCACTCAAGTCAGGCACATGCGCTACCACTGAGCCCCAGCCCCAGTCCCTTTTTCTTTAATTTTTTTTAGTTGTAGATGGACATAATACCTTTACTTATTTATTTATTTGATGTGGTGGTGCTGAGGATTGTGATTGTGGCTCAGTGCTCTACCACTGAGCCACAATCACAGCCCAGCCCTTTTTATTTTTTACTTTGAGACAGGGTCTCGCTAAGTTGCTTAAGACCTCGCTAAATTGCTGAAGCTGCATTTGAATTTGAAATCCTCCTGCCTCAGCCTCCAGAATTGGGATTACAGGTATGCACCACCATGCCCGGCCAGATTCCAAACTTGAAGTCTGATTCTTACCAGGTGTTGAGCTTTGGGCATGTTGCTTTACTTCTCTGGTCCTCTAGCTCTTCATCTAAATATTTTTCTTACAATGTCAGGATAGGAACTAAATTGCATTATATTATTATTAGAGGAGTATGGAGAGAGAAGGGAAGGGCACAGGAGGAAGGTTGGGGCTATTAAAATGATAATCTTGAGATGTTCAGAATAAGCAGAGGGTGAAACCAGACCTGTGTGTGTGTGTGTGTTGTTGGGGGATTGAACCCAGGGCCTTGTGCATGTGAGGCAAACACTCTACTGAGCTACTCTTCCTGGCCCCAGAATTTTTTTAAATCCTTTCCTTCCAGAATTAATATATTTTTTTTTAGGTCAGCACAATTTGTTGTTTTGGATAACATTAAATCTATGCTGGGTCCTGGCAGGATAAATACCAACATCACCAACAGGGTTTCCAGGACCCTCAAGTGCCTTAGTGTGTAAAGCAGAGGAGATGTTACTTGATAGATTTTGAAGCTAAAGTTGCTTTCAAGTTTGTTAAATTCGAATTCTGTTATTTCTTTTTTCTTTGGCACTGGGTATTGAACCCAGGGCACTTAACCGCTGAGGCACATCCCCAGCCCTCTTTATTTTTTTATTTTGAGACAGGATCTCACAAGGGTTGGGGCCTCTCTAAGTTGCTGAGAAGGGTCTGGAACTTGTAATCCTCCTGCCTCAGCCTCCTGAGTTGCTGTGATTAGAGCCGTACATCATAGCACTTGGTCAGTTTTATTATTTGTTGAGAAAGTTTTTAAAAGCATGAGATAAATAGTGCTTATTACCTCATGTTATAGTTTCAGGAATGTGGATTTCCAGAAAAGACCATGAGAATGACCTCATTACTGAATCAGGGAAAAGTTGAATTCTCTCCTTTGGTCTACCTTGTGAACCCAACAGCAACAACAAAGAGCAAATATTATCAGCAAGTTTATCTGAATTGAAGCTCATGGCTTCAACATTTTTTTCATAATGATGATGATCTATGATTTTTTTTCAAAGAAGGTACTAGCTCAAGCAGGAATTTTCTTTGAATGTATGAGAACTTATTATGTGCTGAACCTGTTCCAAGTAGCCTCACAACCAAATTYTGATATAGGAATATATCAGAACAACTTGGTTAAGCAAGTTGGTTTATCACTTTTTACAGGGGTTGGGGGTTGGTGGTATAGCAGGAACCATGAAAAACAATGAGGTATCTCAGTACCAATATTAGAAAGGAGGGAGCTGGGGATATAGCTCAGTTGGTAGAGCACTTACCTCACATGCACAAGGCTCTGGATTCAATCCCCAGCACAACAACAACAAAAAGAACATAGAGGATTTGGGCTTGTGTCAGGTAGAGGAGCTTTAATATGAATTGCAATGCTGTCTATGAATGTATACCTTGGTAAATTTTAGATGGAAGGAAGAGTAAACTGAGGCTAAAGCTATAATCTCTATTGGAGTGAGGATGAGGAAATATTTTATCATTTTTATGGTTTGAACAATGCTTATGACTTGTCTGGGGTCAAACAAGATTAAGGAGGGGATCTTGTTGTTGTCTTGATTCATCATGGTCACATAACACCTTTGTTTGATGTTGAAAATTTTATATTCAACAGGAGAAGGCAAAGGTCTACCTGTAATGCCAGGCCAGCTCCTGGATATCAGGGGGCTGTTATTCTTTTTCTTAGATCCTAGACTCTTCCAGATTTGTGTGACTGTAAATACCCCCATGCATTTCCTGGTTACAGCTAAGAGCTTAATCTATGAGTTTATACCATTTATTACATTAATTCCCTTCTCATGCCCATACCCTAAGTCTCTGAGATAATTATTGACCTTTAATAAATATTTGTTGAATGAATGAAACAACAAAGAATGCTGCTGAGGACAACTGCCTGGATGCAAACTGCAGCTCAGGAAAAGGSTATTAATGTGTGATTTGAGGCCTGGAATGATGGCATGCTCCTGTAATCCCAGCTACCAGGGAGGCTGAAGCAGGAAGATCACAAATCTGAGGCTTGCCTGAGCAATTTAGTGAGACCCTGCTGCAAACAAATTAAAAAAGGTTGGTGATATAATCCATTGGTAGAGTGCATGCCTAGCATTCAAAGCCCTGGTTTCAATATCTAGTATCACAAAGCCACACATAAGAAGTATGTGATTTGACACAATATGTACTGGCAGCTAATCCACAATTCATACATGAATTTTACTACTTTATTTGACCACATCACCTTAGTCCAGCCCAGGCACACAATTTTGTTGTTGTGCTTTTTAGTCTTCTTTAAACTGAAAAAAGAAACAGTTCCCTAGCTGTTCTCCACCCTGACAGTTATTTTATAGTTGATAGTAGTCCCTCAGTTTGGATTTGGAGACTTGAACCACACCCTTTTTTTCTTTTTTGGTTCCTGGAGATGGAATCTAGGACCTCACAAATGCTAGACACCTTCTACCCCACTGAACTACACCTCCATCCCCAGGGCCATGCACTTGTAAAATAAAGACCACAGAAGAGATGTCCTTCTCAGGGCATCTTATGAGGAGGCATAAGATCTCTACTTGACCCCTTACTTTGACAATACTTTTAATCACTTTGATTTATTTTTTATGCTAGATATATTCCTGTAACACCATTAGTTTTCTTTTATAATCAATAAGTAATTTGTGGGAGACACTGTATTACGCAAACATCTAATTTATCATTCAATTGTGATTTTCTAATAATGTCTATTAGATGGCATTCTCCTAATGGAAAGGTTTATTTTTTCCCATTTATTCATTTCTGTGTGTCGTAAAAACTTACGGATTACTATTTTATTCAATTAGTTATACTCTATTATTATCACTGTGTATTTTGATCCTGAAATTGCCCTGAATTGACGCTAGTAGCTCTTCTCATTATTATCATGTTTACATTCTGCTGCAACAAGATTTCCCAAGCTTATTTGGTACTTCCGGAATCACCTTTTATTCAAGGAGCGACTTCTTGTCCTACCTTGCGTTTTTCTGCGACCTGCCGGCAGGCGGAACCTTAGAGCTCTGGACGTACCTTTTCCGGTTGCAGCCGGAAGTTCCTCTGAGAGGGGAGGCTCTGGGTCAGGTGACGAGAATTCCCGTAGGAGGGGTCGGAGTTCTAGTCTTGTAGACTGACGAGGCAGTGGGACTCTCGTCCGGGACGTACCCGTAGGCTGGGGCGGCCTCTGCGGCGTTAGCTGCGCGGAGGCAGGTACGTGAAGGGCTGGGGAGGAGACCAGGGAGGTGGGGACCGGGAATCCGGTTCGATATTTTCGGGGCTCACGTACTGAGACACCTGAGTCCAGGGCCTCAGAGACAAACCTGGCCTTGTCCGGAGCCCTCGGTCCCCAGAAGAACAGTCAGGCTGGCGTTGTGGTCTTTCGTCCCATGAGTATAGATTAGGGAAATCGAGGCCTTGAGAAAGGAAAGGGCTCCCCAGAGCTCCGTTTCAGGCAAGGGCTTACCCTGATTTCTTTCCTTTCTCCTGGACGGAACCGCCTCTCTCATATGGTGGTGCATTTAACGAGTTTACCTCGAATAGAGAGACCGAGGGGCGCGGAATATGTTGAACAGATTTATGGTGAGAGTTAAAAGACTTGGGTTCGAGACTTCGCCACCGACCGCAAATTGGGCTTTCCAGGCCAGATCCTTTTTCTGTGCTGAGCCTAGTTTCCTCACTTGTAAAGCGGGGCAGTGCTTCTCAAAATGTTTTTCACACCATCTACTTTGAAATCTCCTGGTTTGCCGGCATTGAAGTGCTGGGCTAAAATCAAACTACTGGTGTGGAATCTGCGTTTAGGACCTAGGAAACCGTGATTTGAGTATTCGCCTTGGAATACTCAAATAATTTTACTTTGAATCTTTCTGATGTTTGAAGCCCAATGATCTTAAGTGCTTTCTGCTATGAGTACCAGATATCTTTTCTTCGCTTTGAGGCAGTTTGGGCCAGTTCAGGAACTGAAAAAAACTGGAATAGTTAGGCTAGAAAAAAAGAACACTGAAAGGAAAATAACATTTTTAAAACTGAAGGTAAAAAAAAAAAAAAAAAAGTTATGGAGAAGAGAGCTTCCACTGCATCTTCGGGGTGGAAAGAAGTAGAGCTAGGCTTAATAGGTGGATTCTACAGGAGGACAAGATTTTTGCTTACTAGAAGAACTTAATGGAAAAATCATCAGCGGTGACTAGCGATAGGATGGATTGTTTCCTTGTGGAAGGAGGAATGCAAGTRTTAGATGAAGGTCTTTCCCAATTCCAAAGTCTCTGCTTCTAAGTAATTTACTTTGAATCTTTCTGGTGCTGACTCTGCCTTCGGAGAAAATGTGAGATTTCTTTTTCCAACTTTCTTTTCTTGACACCTTCATTCCCCCTAGCCTACATCTAGCACCTGATCTATGAAATATCTTCCTGGTTGTGCACCATCCTTTTCAAGGACTTTGGAATGCCCCAACATCTGATAGAGGTGCTTGAACTGTTTATGAATAACAAAACAGAATGTCATCCATTGGTTAATAGCGTATTTTCTAAGAACAAATTGGAAATGCCTCTGAAGACTTTGTGACCAGAAGAAACCAGTGAACTCTATATCACAGAATGAAGGGCCTGTTGAATTTGTAGTCCAACCTTCTTTCTGGGACATACATCCCTCTTTAATCCTTTCTTTCTCCAACAGTGTATGCAGATGTGAGAGAATTGTTTTTTTAACTCTGTAGGCTAGCTTTCCATACAGCAAATAAAACCCATTCTATGATGGATTAATTTGCCAGTTCATCCTCATTTGTGTGTAATCTACAGATGATGCTTTAGCATGTGTTTAGTTTTCTCATCAAACATCACATTTCCTTATTTTGTGCTTTACCAAACTCCCAAGTAGATCACTTTTACAACACCTGTTAGAATATTTAAGATTATGTTGTCTTATGGAGCAGAAGTTCAAAATTACCACTCAATTCTGCAGACCCCTCTCCTCCAAAAAAAGGTTGGTTTAGCCAAAACTTTATGCCTGTTTTTTAACTTTGTTTGTGTTTCTCAAGGGGGGAAAAAAGTTGTGAAATGCTTACTCAGATGTTATCAGGGTGCTGGGTAAAATGTTCTTAATTTGTTGGGGTTTTTAAAACTTATCACTACAGGAGTTCCAGGTATTAATGAAATACCTGAATCAGTGCTTTAATAAGGCCACTGGTCTGAAGAGATGCTTCTGAAAAAAAGGGTTTGATGGTAAAAATAAGTTTGGGGAAAGCTGCATACTATTCTTAGAACTTCTCAGTGTATAGTACCACATTAAAGGTATTGAGAAGTCTGCAATAAAGGAATGGGCTATATAAGCTCCAACAGGGTGATGCACACCTATAATCCCCAGCTACTTGGGAGGCTGAAGCAGGAGAATCTCAAAGTTTGAGGCCAATCTCATAACTTAGTGAGACCCTGTCTCCAAAAATAAATAAATAAATAAGAAGGGCTAGGGGTGTAGCTCAATGGTAAACCACCCCTGGGTTCAATCCCCAGTATCACAAAAAAGGGTGCTTTATAAACTAGGCTAATAACTTGTTTTACTTGTTTAATTTAGTGTTGCCAAGTATATTTGATATGAATTTTTTTTTTTTACACTAAGACTTAGGTGATTTATTATGTTTGTTAAGAACTCTGATACAAAGCACAGTAAAAGGCCACAGACCAGTAAATAAAGAATGTGATTTTGGCTACTTTACAACCATTGCTACAGCCTATCAACATAACACACTTTTCATCACTTTGAATGAAGGTGTCCAAATGGCCGATAAAAGTTTCAATCACTTCTCTGATTAAAAAGTTTAATAAAGCATTAAATATTTGCTGGTTTAAATATTACCAATCTAAAAAATATTTTTAAAAAACTTAAGTTAACACAAGATTTATAGAGAAAGTCACTAGGTTTTGAAGGCAAGGCAGTTGGCTAAATTTTTTTTTTAATTGAAGCACAAATTGGCAAAAATYTAGCTCTACCACTTCTTTTTGCCTGCCCTGTGAGCTAAGAATGGCTCTTACATTTTTAAATGGGGAATAAATCAAAAAGAACAATAACATTTCATGATAGGAAAATCAAATTTCAGGGGCTAGGGTTGTGGCTCAGCGATAGATTGCTTATCTAGCATGTGTGAGGCACCACATAAAAAATAAATAAATAAATGTCCAAGTACAACTAAAAAAAGACAAATTTCAGTGTTCAATTTCAGCCACACTCATTTATTTGCATATTGTGTTTGGCTGCTTTAATTCTGTAACTGTGCAGTAGTTAACACAATGACTGTAAGGTCAACAAAGTCTGAAGTATTTACTATATGGCCCTTTACATTAAAAAAAAAAAAATCTGCCAGCTTTCTGACCTGTATCTTGTTCATTTTTTAAAATTTTTTATTTTAAAATTATTTTAGGCTGCAAAATAATTCACAGACTTACTGCATACCCTCCATCTAACTTCTCCTAATATTAACACTTTACATAAGTATATTAAAATTAAGCAAAAAACTTAATATTGATTAAAACCTACTAACTATAGACTTTTTCGGGGGGTGGTGGTACCGGGTATTGAACTCGGGTGCTTTACCACTGTTATTGCTGAGCTATTTATTTTTATTATTTATTTATTTTKGGTACGAGGGATTGAATCCAGGGGCACTGAGCCACATCTCCAGCCCTTTTTAAGTATTTTATTTAGAGACAGGGTCTCACTGAGTTGCTTAGGGCCTCCCAAGTTGCTTAGGCTAGCTTTGAACTCACAATCCTCCTGCCCCAGCCTCCTGAGTCACTGGGATTACAGGTGGGCATCACCGTGCCTGGCTTTATTTTTTATTTTCAGGTAGGTTCTCACTAAATTTGCCTCAATCTTGAAATCCTCTGCCTCAGTCTCCCAAGTTGCAGATGCCTGGCTCTAATCTATACATTTTATTAAAATTTTGTCATTTGTCCAATTCTTTTTCTGTCCCAGGATCCAATCTGAGCTCTTGGGTAACATTGAGTTATCAAGTCTCCAGTCTGGGGCAATTCCTCAGTCTGTCCTTCAAGACTGAAACTTTTAAATAGGGCTGGCCTAATATTTTGTAGAATGTCTATCAAACTTTTTTTTATATGTAATTCACATACCAGAAAATTCACCACTTTAAAGTGTATAATTTAGTGGTTTCTAGTATATTCACAAAGTTGTACAGTCATCACYGCTATATGTAAGCAGTCACTCTATTCTCCCCTCTTCCCATCTCCTGGCAACCACTAATCTCCTTTTTGTCTCTGAATTGTCTATTTTGAACATTTAATATAACTAGAATCATACAGTATGCGGCCTTTTGTGTCTGGCATTTTCATAAGCATATTTTCAAGGTTCATCAATGTGATAGCATGTAATAGTATATCATTCCTTTTTATTACTCAGTAGTATTCCACTAGGGGTATAACACAATTTGTTTATCCATAAGTTTGTTCATTAGTTTACTGACACAGATTTTTCTATCTTTTGGTAATTATGAATAATGCTGCTATGAACATTTGTGTGCAGGTTTTTGTTTGATCGTATTTTCAGTTCTCTTAGATAAATACCTAGAAGTGAAAATTGATGGGTCATACGGCAACACTGTGTTTAACTTTTTGAGAAACTGCCAAGCTATTTTCTATAGTGAATGTCCTGTTTTATGTTCCTACTAATAATATATGAGAATTCCAATTTCTCTACATCCTCAACACTTGTTATTGCCCATTAAAAAAAATATATCCTGGGCTGGGGATGTGGCTCAAGCGGTAGCTCGCTCACCTGGCATGCGTGCGGCCCGGGTTCGATCCTCAGCACCACATACAAACAAAGATGTTGTGTCTGCCGAAAACTGAAAAATAAATATTTGAAAAAAATATATATATATCCATCCTAGTGGGTATGAAGTGTTTTAATTTGCGTTTCCCTAATGACTGATGATGTTAAATATTTTCATGTGTTTATTGGCATCTGTATATTTTATTTGGAGAAGTCTATTTAAATCCTTTGCCCATTTCTTAATTGGGTTATTTGTCATTATATACAATTTCTATTATAAATAGAGTTTGCAAATCCCTTGAAGCCGCTTGAAGTAACTAACTCAGAGTGAGCTGAATGGCAGAATCTGATGCAATACTAGTAGCTCCCTGAGCTGAATGTGGTTGGATTTGGACATGCTGAAGTACAGAGTAAGTTGTCTGAGACTGCTGATCATG